TAGAAGGTTGACTTTACGATCCACTTAGAAAGAGTCAATGGAAGAGAAGCACCAAAGCATGTTGTAACCAGTTGATATACTTCTTCTTTTTTATAATAGATACCTGTGTTTAGTTTTTGTTTTTTCCTGCCTTGTCCTTTGTCGTTTTTGTCTTCTTTTTTTTTTGCCTTTTCTTTTTGATTTTTTCTTTTCCCACTGGTGTGGGCAGGTATTGTTCAAGATTATTACTTTTATTAATATCTTTAAATAATAATTACAGTCAAATGAAAATGGATACATGATAATGCTTGAGTTAATATGAGTTATGTTTGTTGACCGTGGAGGAGATGTACCAAAGCTTGTCTGTAATCGATTGATACATTTTTTTACAGATGTAAAGAAAGATGCTGTACTTGTTTTAATTAAAATTAAAAAAACATTTATTTTTTAAAAAAAAAAGAATCACAAAGGAGAAAGGCCAGATACTGTAGGTGGGAGACATCTGCCTCCTTGGCATGTGCTGCAATTCACAAAACTGGTACAATATCGTGACCATAAAAATAAAATGCCTGCACTCACAAAAAAATAAAAAAAAAATGAGAAAAGGATAATTTTGTCTGGAAAAGGAAAACAAGCAATTCGCTCAGCAGCCTTTTGAGGAAAAAAAAAAACAAGAGCAAAGCAACACCGCCTCCCCGCCGCCAGAGCCTCCACGCGTTTGCAATTCCTCTAAACCAGTGGTCTCTAACCTTGGCAACTTTAAGACCTGTGGACTTCAGCTCCCAGAGTTCCTCAGCCAGCTTTGCTGGCTGAGGAACTCTGGGAGTTGAAGTCCACAAGTCTTAAAGTTGCCAAGGCTGCTCTAAACCAAGGGGTCACCCAAACTTGGCAACGTTAAGACTGGCGGACTTCAACTCCCAGAATTCTCCAGCCACAGCTGAAGCCCAGAAGCCTTAACGTCGCCAACCCCCGCGAGGGCGGGACTCCCACGAGCCGCCCTCGCTAGAGATCATGGGAGCTGTAGTCCGACGCATTTCGCGGCGCAGCTACTTCCTTCGCCCTCTCCCGTACTTCCTACGAAGCGTCCCCTCCTCTCCTCCCGCCCCTATTTTTTTTTTTAAAAACAGACACGTCGATAACTGCGACGCGCAGCCGCGCCTGCGACCCTGACGGAGCAACTTCGGCCTTTACCCTCCCCCCCCGCCCACCCTTCGCCTCCATTTCGAAAACCTGCGTCGCGATTGGGCGGAGGGCGCCCTCAGGCCACGCCCAAACGACAGGAGGGGGCGGGGTTTCGAGCGTGCTCTATTTCTGCCTGCGGTCCAGCCGGAGCTGCTTTTGGGGGGGGTCTAGGCTGGTACGTACCGGGGTTCCTCCCGCCGGGGTGGGGAAGGAAGGGAGGAAAGGAACCGGCGAGCGAAGCTGGTTATTCGGGAAAGAAAAGCCAAATTATATTTAAAAGAAGGCCTTTAAATGGCTCCTGGCGCCTTCCTTCTTCCCCGCATTTCGAAAGAATGGGGGGCGCCTCTCCTGCAAAGAGTAATTCGAAGCTCCCCTAAATCCCCACCTTTCTGTGGCGTCTTCCCATCTTGACACCCGAATGCAATTCGGTTTTACTTGTAATCTGCTTTCTCCACTCCCTGGAAATAGTCTCCCTTTTTCCCCCCCTTCCTTCCCGGGTGCAATTTTTTAATGCAACGAATATTGCAAGAGGGGCCATTCATATGGAGAGAGGGGTGGGCGGGCGTGGGGTGCGTTGAGGAGCCGGAGCGGGGGCGTCTTTGCGAAGGAATGGGCAGGGCAGGGCATGACATAGGCCTGTCCATTAGCTTTACAACCTCCTCCGTCTCCAAAGAGAATCCCGAAAAGGTGGGAGTAGTCCGACTTGTTCTCCTGGCTGTCAGTCTATGGGGCGGGGCGGGGGGGGGGCTCTTGCGAAAGCGAACTCGCCTCTGGCATAATATTAAAACCTTAGGGGAATTGCATTAAATAGATATTTCACATGCCAACTTCTTGGGGTTTTGCATACAGCTTGCCTGGCTTTATATGGGGAAGTTTGGGCTAGCTGCACAGAACTTGTGCACTTTTAAGAGTTGGTTTCCCTTCTGGGGTGAGGGGTGGGGGGGTGAGAGGTGGAATTTGTCTTGTCCAAAGGGTCTCTGAAATAGCTTTTTAAAGAAAGCGGTTGGAAAATAGTTTCTGGTGTTTTCTTTTAAAGTAGGGTGGTCAGTGCAGAGAAAGGGACAGCATGGCTCCCAGCCTGGAATAAATGCTGGTTTAAATGGCTTCCTCTTTTTGTTTCTCCCTTGTGGACGCACCAAATGTTTCAGTGGAATTGTGCAGGTGTTGCAATGCTTCAACCCTCCCTGGCAGTCATGTGCTCTCTTTTAATCTTCCCTTTCTGCTTGCTCAATTTGCAGATCTCTCTTGGAGATAGCATAACTTAGGACTTGAAAGGGTTGCTTAAGTTTTATGGACATGCCCTTTTAAGAGCTGCAGTCCAAAGGGGTTGGGTTTGGGGAGACCTAATGGATGAAATCTTACGCCTCATTAGCCATTTTGCCCTGAGGCGTATTCCCCAAACTCCAAAACCCCCAAACTCTTTGGTCTTGGTTTACTTGGGGTGGCATGAGGATCAGAAAATGGATGCCGGTGAGCTTGTTGCATTCATGCTCTATAGCAGGGGTGTCAAACTCAATTTTATTGAGGGCCGCATCAGGATTGTGTTTGACCTCGGGAGGGGCATGGGCAGATGGGTATGGCCAGCTTGACATCACTCGTGTTGGTGCCTGTGGTGGCCCAAGCGCTCTGCCAGCAAAAATGGGCTCCCGAGCTCCAATTTTCGGCCATGACAGCCTCCTGCACCCCTCTGCCAGGGAAAACGGAGCATGCGACCTCCAGGCTCCATTTTCAGCCTCCCTAGCCGTCCCCACTGGACTCTGGCAGAGGACTGAACGTGGCCCTGCTGAGCTCTTTGGCAGGGGCACCGCGGGCTGGTCCTTCACTGTTTCCAGCGCGGTCTTGCAGGCCACATCTAAGCACCCTCATAGGCTGGATCTGGCCCTTGGGCCTTCACTCCCCTTGAAATATAGTAATGTGATATGGGGGGGGGGTGTAATATAACAGCCAGATGTGCTTTATGGCCCATTTATGAGCCGAGGTGGCGCAGTGGTTAGAGTGCAGTACTGCAGGCTACTTCAGCTGACTGCTAGTTCGGCAGTTCGGCTGTTCAAATCTCACCGGCTCAGGCTTCCATCCTTC